GCTGAAGAGCTGAGGGACAGCGCCCAGGCCCAGAGTTCAAGCCCCACGACCGACCAAAAAAAAAAAGTTCAAACAAAATACAAAATTTCCTTCAAAATCATCATCTGACCAGGAACACCATTTCAAAATTTTCATCACCAGTTTCTTTTTCTTACCTTCAAAATTTCTGGCTTTGTTTTTTCCATGACATGTGTCAGGCTAAAAAGGTGAAATAGAGCTTCTCGGACAAAAAAGGCCCGTTCACTGTACCGCTTTAATGCTTCCGCAATCTGAGTTTCATTGGCTTCACCAGACACCTTTTGAAAATAATGAAAAGATTAGTGCCCAAAATTACTATCAACTCTCTAAATTGCTTTACCTAAATATCAGTTGTAAAGATGCTACCCAGTATAGCTATGTAAGGCTTTAATTAAGTGGGAAAAATTACTTTTCAGCTCATCCAGAGATGTCTGTTAGCTAGACTCAGAACCTAGCACAAATACCTTTTCTGTACCTAAAATAAATCTCGAGATACTTAACGCTGATTACATGGTCTTATTATATAACTAGGCTCATAAGAAGGAGATAAACAAAAAGAAATCTCTACGCTAGCTCCCAATATTATAGCTACAATGGCCCTTTTTCTTCTTCTAAGCTTTCAATAAACTAAGCTCTTCCTCAGAAAAAGGCCATTACATACATTGTCTAAGTGAAACCTCAGTTTATTTTTTTTTTTTTGGTCTGTCATGGGGCTTGAACTCTAGGCCTCAGCGCTGTCCCTGAGCTCTTGCAGCTCAAGGCAAGCACTCTACCACTTGAGCCACAGCACCACTTCCAATTTTCTGGTGGTTAATTGGAGATAAAAGTCTCATGAATTTTCCTGCCCAGGCTAGCTTTGAACCATGATCTGCAGATCTCAGCCTCCTAAGGATTACAGGTGTGAGCCACCAGCACCCAGCTACCTCTGTCTCTTTTTGCCTAACTAACTTCTACTAGTCCTTTCTTTCTTTCTTTCTTTTTTCTTGGGGGGGGAGGGTCCGGTCATGGGCCTGAATTCTGGGTCTGGGCGCTGTCCCTCAGCTCTTCAGCTCAAGGCTAGTGCTCTACCACTTGAGCCACAGTGCCACTTCCAGCTTTTTTTTCCTGCTTATGTGGTTCTGAGGAATCGAACCCAGGGCCTCATGCATGCAAGGCAAGCGCTCTACCACTGAGCCACCTTCCCAGCCCCTCTACTAGTCCTAACTAAAGTTAAACACATCTTTGAGAGGTCTTCCTTAACATACAAATATAAATCAGGTCCCTCAAAACTTTTCATGGATTTCATAGTTATTACCATATTACTTCCACCAGACTGACCCATTCACCACTGCACCTCAACAGCTAGGCATTATGCTCACTCAGAACAATAAATGTCCATCAAATAAACTCCCAAATAATTTCCCCAGATTCATCAACTTCTGTAAGAAGTTCTGCTCAAACTTAAGTCTATCTAGGGAATTTTTCATTTACACCAGTTAATAATACACTTACATTACACACTATGATTCAAACACTATTAAGTAACCAACCTTTAGCTAATGGTAAATGATTATTTATAAATGTAACAAAATTAACTAGTGCAAAAGAAATGACTAAAATATTACCATAATGTTACCAATGAAATAATAGGTATAGGCATTACACATCATTAGAAACAACTAGACAGTATATACCTCCCAATGAAAGAGTGTAACACGGGGCTGGGAAGTTGGCTCAGTGGTAGAGCGCTTGCCTTGCATGCCTGAGGCCCTGGGTTCGATTCCTCAGCACCATATAAGCAAAAAGAAAAAAAAAAGCCAGAAGTGGCGCTGTGGCTCAAGTGGTAGAGTGTTAGTCTTGAGCTGAAGAGCTGAGGGATAGCACTCAGGCCCAGAGTTCAGGCCCCACAACGGACCAAAAAAAAAATAAAAATAAAATAAAGAGTGTAACACATAGGATCCTGCCAAAGATATCAAGTATTAGTGAATTAAATCTCCAAAATCTAGCTATTAATTTGCGAAACATGCCAACAGAAATATGCAGCATTAAGCACATATAATCAATAAGATCCACATTGAGGAAAACTCCACAAACAGGACATGTTTTGAAGGAAAGAGATGGGGGAGAAACTTATGAATTCAAAAGACATATTAAGTTAGATGCGGGTGGCTCATGCCTACAATCCTACCTACTCACAAGGCTGAGAACTGAGGATCAAGATTCAAAGCCAGCCAGGCAAAAAAGCCTGTGAGACTCTTATCTCCAATTAGCTACCCAAAAAGCAGTAAGTGGAGCTGTGGCTCAAGTGGCAGAGCGCTAGCCTTGAGCAACAAAGGTCAGGGGACAACTCTCAGGTCAAGTTCAAGACCCAGGCCTGGCCAAAACAAACAAAAAAACACCAAAGTGTTTAAATGAGAAAGCTGAGTCATAAAACTGTGAATGTAAGGACATAGTTACTATCCAAGTGAGGACAAAGAAAAAGGGAGTTGTAGGCTGGGAAGGTGGCTCAGTGGTAGAGCGCTTGCCTTGCATGCATGAGGCCCTGGGTTTGATTCCTCAGCACCACATAAGCAGAAAAAAGCCGGAAATGGCACCATGGTTCAAGTGGTAGAACGGTAACCTTGAGCTGAAGAGCTGAGGGACAGTGTCCAGGCCCAGAGTTCAGGCCCCATGACTGACCAAAAAAAAAAGGAAAAGAGAGTTGTGTTCACAGGAGGGCTCAGAGAAGACCTTTGAGAAAGCTGACAAAATTCCCTGACTAATGGTCTCAGTCACCTTATTTTCACTCATAAGCTATGCAACTGCTACTTATACTTTTAAATCTAGGTTTATTTGCAATAAGATAAATAAAAATAAATGCAAAAATGTCATTCAAAGAGATATAATCTCATTACAGGAAAGATGCAATCTCATTAACATAAAAATAAACAGGGGGCAGGGAAGGTGGCTCAGAGGTAGAGTGCTTGCCTAGCATGCATGAGACCCTGGGTTCTATTCCTCAGCACCACATAAATAGAAAAAGCCAGGAGTGGCGCTGTGGCTTAAGTGGTAGAGTGCTACCCTTGAGCTGAAAAGCTGAGGGACAGTGCCTAGGCCCAGAGTTCAGGTCCCATGACCAACCAAAAAATAAATAAATAAGCAGGGTAGGGTTGGGAAATATGGGGGAGAATGATAGTCAGGGTGACACTGATATGCACTCTACTTATAAACTGATTTGTTGAATTGCAACCTTTCATACAACTAAAGATAATTTAAATTTTTTTAAATAATCAAATGCTTAAACTCAGTAAATTTTTTAATAATCATACTGGAAAATGTAGCCTTGAGGAAATGAATAGATGTACCATGGTTTATGTTTCACATTGTTATTGATGCTACCAATGCTTAAAATAAACTCAATTATATGCAATGACATATATCATGTGTCATAAAAGCACACAATGGAAATTTCTTTACAAAATACTTTTTTTGTGTGTGCCAGTATAGAAACTTAGGGCCTGGGTGCTTTCTCTCAAATTTCTAGTACAAGGCTGGTAATGTACCACTTAAGCCATAACTACACCTTTGGGTTTTTGCTGGTTAACTGAGATGACTCTCCTGTACGTTTCTGCCGAGCATGGCTGCAAACCATGATCTGCAGATCTAAGCCTCCTGGGTAGCTAGGATTACAGGCAGCCACAGTGTCACTTCCAATTTTCTGGTGGTTAATTGGAGATAAGACTCTCACAGACTTTCCTGTGTGGGCTGACTTTGAACCACAATCCTCAGATCTCAGCCTCCAAGGTAACTATGATTACAGTCATGAGCCACTGGCACCCAACTTGGCTAATCTTTAAGAAAAGACAAATTTTGACATTGTCCAAAAAGAAATGTACTCTTGCCAGGCACCAGTAGCTCAAGTGGCAGAGCACTAGCCTGGAGCAAAAGGAGCTCAGGGACAGCACTCAGGGACAAAGTTCAAACCCCAGGACCAGTGCCAAAAAGAAAGAAAGAAAGAGAGGGAGGGAGGGAGGGAGGAAGAAAGAAAGAAAGAAAGAAAGGAAGGAAGGAAGGAACTGTTTACTGACATAATTATAACCCTTGTATACCACCTTTATAATAACAATAAAAAATTTTAAAAAAATAAAAAAAAAGAAAGAGGGGCTGGGAAGGTGGTTCAGTGGTAGAGTGCTTGCCTTGCATGCATGAGGCCCTGGGTTCAATTCCTCAGCACCACATAAGCAGGAAAAGCTGGAAGTGGGGCTGTGGCGCTGTGGTAGAGCACTGGTCTTGAGCTGAAGAGTTCAGGCTCCATGACTGGCAAAAAAAAAAAAGGAAAAAGAAAGAAAAGGGGGCTGGGAAGGTGGATTGGTAGAGTGCTTGCCTTGCATGCATGAAGCCCTGGATTCAATTCCTCAGAACCACATATACAGAAAAAGCCAGAAGTGGTATTATGGTTCAAGTGGTAGAATGCTAGCCTTGAGCAAAAGAAGCTCAGAGACAATGCCCAGGCCCTGAGTTGAAGCCCAAGGACTGGCCAAAAAGAAAAAGAAAAAAGAAAAGAAAATTTACCATAGCCCGGAGCCGGTAGCTCACGCCTGTAATCCTAGCTACTCAGGAGGCTGAGATCTGAGCATCTCTGTTCAAAGCCAGCCTGGGCAGGAAAGCCTGTGAGACTCTTATCTCCAAGAAACCACTAGAAAACCAAAGTGGTTCTGTGGCTCAAGCGGTAGAGCGCTCACCTTGAGCTGAAGAGCGCAAGAACAGTGCCCAAGCCCAGAGTTCAAGCCCCATGACCGACAAAAAAAAAAAAAAGAAAATTTACCATGAGAGAACTCAGAGAACTTGATCTCAAATTAGGTATTCAATTGAACAATGAATATCCCTACTGAAATATCTCTACATGAAAATTTTTGCTCAAAATAAATAAATATTGCCCTAACAAGTCACACTGCTTATCTGGGATAAACTATATGACTTGCCCTTTACATTTCCAGTTAGTAATCTTCAGGAGAATTATGCAATGATATCTACATTACAAATATAGATATGAAAACACAAAAAAGTAACCTTGTATCTTGCTCTGGGCCACAAACAAAACTGAGGTTTTAACTAGGATTCTGATCCTAATACAAGCCTTTCCACTAGAAAAAGCTCTGTTTTCAAAAAACATATTACAAGCTGGGTGCAGATGGCTCAGGCCTGTAATCTTAGCTACTCAGCAGGCTGAGATCCAAGGATTGTAGGTCAAAGCCAGCACAGGAAGGAAAATCTGTGCGATGCTTATCTCCAATAAATCCAGAAAACCAGAAGTGGCACTGTGGCTCAAGTGGTAAAGCGCTCACCTTGAGCTGAAGAGCTGAGGGACTGAGCTCCCAGGCCCAAAGTTCAAGCCCCACAACCGACAAAAAAAATAATAAAAAGATATTACACATATTAGACATTCATCTTTATTAATAAGAGTCTTATGTAACTAAGACATTGTTCAGTTGGAGAAAATACGTTTTAAATGTCTGACCTTCAAATGTCCTGCACCAGTCAGGAATTCAGAGTAACCAGCATCAGTAGCCAGCAAACCTACAAACTGCATGCTGGGCCGTTGTTGTATAAAGGCTTCAACAGCTTTATCTGTCACATGCTTTCTCCCAGAAACATCCAAAGAGACAAGATTGGGTAGGATATCCTTTTGTTCTAGTAAGCGAAGAGCTATGTCAGATGTAAACTGTTTATCATCGGAGATATCAAGATGATTCAGATGTTTTAGTTCTCGAACAACATCCAATATTTGGGTAGTTGTCATTTTTAAACATTTCAAGTGATGCATGGTTAGAGACTTGAGTCGGTCTTTGCAGGCCAGCAGAGCAGTGATGTCTGTGATGGAGGTATTAGAAATATCCAGGCTCTCTAATCTTGGCAATGAGGCAACTTCAGCCAGGTCTTCATTGTAAAACAGAACATTGGTGATGCTTAGAGCTCGAAGACCAGAAAGTCGGCTGAAGCACCGCTCATAAGGATCTTCCAAGGAGAGAGTTAGTGAGTTCAGCACTAAGCACTGGAGATTTTGCTGGATCCACTTATTACTGCCAAGACCACTGATAATATCTGTGATAGTAATATCAGCATTCACACCTGTGGCATCAAGTTCTACTAACTTGTGGTGGCAGAAGGCTTTCCGGAAAGCAACAGCAGATATCTTCGCTTTGCGAATGCAAGCTCTCTTTAACCTCATCTGGTTCCCCCTGAAAATACCTACAGTACCATCATTCAGTAAACCTGGGGAAAATAAGCAGCACTTTAACTTCAAGTAAGTTCAATAACATTTCTATCATACTTTTCATTTCCAAAATGTTCCCGTGTAATGCTAACTCATTTGATGCTCACAATTCAGCGAGCTGAGTATAACATTTTCGGAAAGGGGCTTTCCCAATCACAAAACCTCAAGTTTGAACTCCAGTACTAACAATAACAACAACAACAAAAATTCTAATGCTGGAGGGATTTGGATAAGACTCACTAGTATAGCACTTGCTTTAGCATGTTCAGGGCTCTGGGATTCAATCACCACCACCACCACCACCCACCTACCGTCCCCCCACAAAGGTGGCTTTCCAAGATTATAGAACTAACAAGCGGCACAAGCAGGACTGTGGTAGACAGGATATCCACTAACACTGGGTTCTCACTTTACCAGACATTGGCAACTATATTTTGTAGCCCTTCCTTAGTATTACATGAAGCCATGTGATAGTTCTGGCAGTGGGCTGTAAGTTGAAGTTGAGAGCCAATGCATAATTTTCCATGCTATGTTGTCCTGCTGTGACAAAGAAAGAGCCTTCAATGCTTGATAAGAAATGTACTCAGTATCTTGCCCATGTAATTGTAACTCCTCTGAAAGATATTTTCACAATAAAAAAAAATGTATTAAAAAAAAAAGAAAAAGGAAAAAGGCTTCAAGTTCTAAAGAGGTTTGGAAGGGTTGAGCTTCTATTAATCTGAATACTAAGGTGGCTATGGATCAGAACCTTAATGGATTTGCAGAGTTTATGTACCACAGTAAGGTTTAAACTGTGTGAAAAAGTATTTGATTTCTTATCACTGCACTTCTAGCCTATCATTTAAATTCACAATGTATTTTATACACACAAATATGTATAAAATATATATCTAGCAAATATATAATGCCTATACCTTATTAAACTGCTAGCCTGATTTGAAACTTACTTAAAGGATTTAGTAATTATACCCTTTCTGTTAGATGAACATGAGTAAAAGTAGACACAGTAATCTTCTGAGGAAGGCTTTCAATATAAAATATACAGCTAGGGGCTGGGCAGGTGGCTCAGTGGTAGAGCACTTGCCTTGCACACATGAGGCCCTAGGTTCGATTCCTCAGCACCACATAAGCAAAAAGAAAAAAGCCAGAAGTGGCACTGTGGCTCAAGTGGTACAGCGCTAGCCTTGAGCTGAAGAGCTGAGGGACAGCGCCCAGGCCCAGAGTTCAGGCCCCACAACGGACCAAATATACACACAAATATGTATAAAATATATATCTAGCAAATATATAATGCCTATACCTTATTAAACTGCTAGCCTGATTTGAAACTTACTTAAAGGATTTAGTAATTATACCCTTTCTGTTAGATGAACATGAGTAAAAGTAGACACAGTAATCTTCTGAGGAAGGCTTTCAATATAAAATATACAGCTAGGGGCTGGGCAGGTGGCTCAGTGGTAGAGCACTTGCCTTGCACACATGAGGCCCTAGGTTCGATTCCTCAGCACCACATAAGCAAAAAGAAAAAAAAAGCCAGAAGTGGCACTGTGGCTCAAGTGGTACAGCGCTAGCCTTGAGCTGAAGAGCTGAGGGACAGTGCTCAGGCCCGGAGTTCAGGCCCCACGACCGGACCCAATAAATAAATAAATATACAGCTAATGGTGCTGTGGCTCAAGTGGTAGAGCGCTAGCCTTGAGCTGAAGAGCTCAGGACAGCACTCAGGACCAGAGTTCATGCCCCATGACCGACCAAAAAAAAAAAAGGAAGTAAAATATATACCAGATTTTGAAGACATAGACTTATAAAACATAAAAATATCAATATATTTTATAGTAACTACATGTTGAAATTATAATAGAAAAAATTTTGAAGCAGGGGGCTGGTTGCTCACACCTGTAATCCGAGTTACTCAGGAGGCTGAGATCTGAGGATCATAGTTCAAAGCCAGCCTGGGCAAGAAAGTCCATGAGACTCTTATCTCCAATAAACCATTCAGAAAACCAGAAGTGGCACTGTGGCTCAAGAGATAGAGCGCTAGCCTTGAGCTGAAAAGCTGAGGGATAGCGCCCAAGCCCAGAGTTCAAGGCCCACAACTGACAATAAAATAAAATAAAATAAAAATTGAAACTAGTTTCATCTATTTGTCTTTTTTTTTTTTTTTTTTTGCTAGTCCTGGGGCTTAAACTCAGGGCCTGGGCACTGTCCCTGAGCTTCATTTGCTCAAGGCTAGCACTCTACCACTTGAACCAGAGCACCACTTCCAGCTTTTTCTGTTTATGTGGTACTGAGGAATTGAATCCAGGGCTTCATGCATGCTAGACAAGCACTCTACCACTAGGCCACATTCCCAGCCCCTATTTCTTTTTTCTTCTCCTTCTCCTTCTCCTTCTTTTTTGTCGGTCCTGGAGCCTGAACTCTGGGCCTGGGCATTGTCCCTGAACTCTTTTTTTTTTTTTTTTTGGGTCCAGTCGTGGGGCCTGAACTCTGGGCCTGGGCGCTGTCCCTCAGCTCTTCAGCTCAAGGCTAGCGCTCTACCACTTGAGCCACAGCGCCACT